CAGGAAGCTGAGACACAAGAATTGCTTGAACCCAGGAGGCAGAGGTTGCAGTGAGCCGAGATAGCACCACTGCACTGCAGCCTGGGGGATAGAGTGAGACTCTATCTCCAAAAGAAGTAAAGAAATAGATAAAATCCACTTGGTAGTGAGGAGGACAGAGACACTGACCTGTTCTCCAACTCCCCCTACCCCATCTTTTTCCATCGCATAAATCACATAACCATCTATCAGCTATTACCCCTTTCATTACTGACCCATTGAGATCAGAGAGGTTCCTATAGCCAAGAGCATCCCCTCTACTGGAATCACAAAAGGGTTAGCTAGAGCTGGCAACCGCTGCCAACAGCTCTTTAACCACTCTTCCTCTCCACAAATGGAACACACCAAGACCTTTCCCAGTGAGAAATCAGGCGCCCCTTGCCCCAGTAAAGGGTTCCTCCACTGGCAAAATCCAAGGCTTATGCATTAATTGTGCAAACTTTTCTCATAAAAGACTTACTGGAACCTTATTAAATGGCAACTTATACCTACTTTGTATGTATTTATAACAAATGATAGAGTTAAGTTTAGAAACTAGAGAATCAATTCACAGGAGGAGAGTGGAGAGAAGCCTCTGTAAGTACAGTAAACTGACAAACCTAAAAGAGAAAACTGACAGCTATAAAAAGTTAAAAGGCTATAAAAGGTAGACCTAGAAATTTTTTCAAGATATCAGCCGGAGGCTATTTAGCTAAGGGTATTAAATACTCCTACATATTCAAAATGGCCTAAGGACACCACTAAATTAAGCCCAGGGCTATAACCCATGGGTATTAAGAAGATTCCTATCTTAATATTCATTTTAGGCCAGGCGCAGTGGCTCACGCCTGTAATCCCAGCACTTTGGGAGGCCGAGGTGGGAGGATCACGAGGTCAGGAGATCGAGACCACCCTGGCTAACACAGTGAAACCCCGTCTCTACTAAAAATACAAAAAATTAGCGGGGTGTGGTGGCGGGCGCCTGTAGTCCCAGCTACTCGGGAGGCTGAGGCAGGAGAATGGCGTGAACCCGGGAGGCGGAGCTTGCAGTGAGTCGAGATTGCGCCTCTGCACTCCAGTCTGGGTGACAGAGCGAGACTCCGTCCCCCTCTCAAAAAAAAAAAAAAAAAATTCATTTTAAACTCAAGGAAGTTATGTCATAATTTTAGGATTTTTTTCCCATCCAAAGTAGTTAAAGTTAACATTTTGGTTAAAAAAGAGAACTGTCGGATATCTGAAAAATTCTATTACCAAGTAAATCAATCAAAACTTTCACAGGACTAAGGTTTCACTGACATTCTCACCCCTTCCCACTGCTCCAACCAAGCTTTCTTGGCAGTGTCTGCTGTTGCCTTTGACAATCAAAATACTAAGGGAAAAACAAGAGACAGAAAAAAAATACTACATTTTATTCTTTCTTAGAAGTGAAAGAAAACACATCAGACTGATAAAATCACATTTTTCAATATGATAATATCCAGTTCGGTGGGAACACAATTTGGAATACCACATCAGAGGAGAATTTGGCAATATTTATCAAACTTTAAATGTACACACCTTCTGCCTTGGCAAACTCATTGCGATACATTTACTCATTTGAATACATCCTCCCAAATACATCAAATTATAAGTTTAGGGCTGGGCACGGTGGCTGACGCCTGTAATCCCAGCACTTTGGGAGACCGAGGTGGGCAGATCACTTGAAGTCAGGAGTTCAAGATCAGCCTGGCCAACATGGTGAAACCCCATCCCTACTAAAAATACAAAAATTAGCCGGGTGTGGTGGTGCACGTCTGTAATCCCAGCTACTCAGGAAGCTGAGTCAGGAGAATTGCTTGAACCTGGGAGGCAGAGATTGCAGTGAGCCGACATTGCACCACTGCACTCCAGCCTGGGCAACAGAGCAAGACTCCATCTCAAAAAAAAAAATTATAGGTTCAGGGCTGGGCACAGTGACTCATGCCTGTAATCCCCGCATTTTGGGAGGCTGAGGTGAGCAGATTATTTGACCTCAGGAGTTTGAGACCAGCCCAGGCAACATGGCAAAATTCTATCTCTACAAAAAATTTAAAAGATTTGCCAGGTTTGGTGGCACACGCCTGTGGTCCCAGCTACACGAAGGCTGAAGCGGGAGAATCGCTTGGGCCTGGGAGGTCAAGGCTGCAGTGAGTTGTGATGGCATCCCTGCACTCCTGCCTGGGAGACAGAGCAAGACCCTGTCTCAAATAAAATAAGTTCGGAGACGTCTGCTACACCACGATTTTGTACTAGCACAAAAGTAGAAACAATGTGAATGTCCATCAATAGGGGACAAGTTAAATCAATGACTTTACAATCACACAATGGAATATTATGCAACCATGTAGAATTGCCTGTGTTCATGTGAAAAAGTCACCAAGATATATTAAAAAAAAGCAAGATGTAAAACAAAATGTATAGTTGATCCTATGCATAAATGCTTTTGCTGGCAAATATATGTTTTTCTGGAAGGCTATATGAGAATTAACAGCACCCTTGGGGAAAGGGAATACAGTTAAGAAGTGGGTGGAGGGGCCAGGCACAGTGGCTCACACCTGTAATCCCAGAACTTTGGGTGGCCAAGGAGGGCAGATCACAAGGTCAGGAGTTCAAGACCAGCCTGGCCAACATAGTGAAACCCTGTCTCTACTAAAAATACAAAAAAAAAAATTAGCTGGGTGTGGTGGCAGGCACCTGTAATCCCAGCTACTCGGGGGGCTGAGGCAGGAGAATCACTTGAACCCAGGAGGCGTTGGAGGTGGAGGCTGCAGTGAGCAGAGATTGTGCCACTGCACTCCAGCCTGGGCAACAGTGCAAGACTCTGTTTCAAAAAAAAAAAAAAAAAACAGTGTGTGGAGGGACTTTTGCCTTTAATTTTAAATCTTTCTGATAGAATGTTTTACTATGTGCATGTATTGTTTTTCTTTTCTTTTGAGACAGGGTCTCACTTTGTTACCCAGGCTGGAGTGCAGTGGCATGATCACAGTTCAGTGCAGCCTCGACCTCCCAGGCTCAAGCAATCCTCCTGCCTCAGCCTCCTGAGGAGCTGTGACTACAGGCATGCATCACCACACTCAGCTAATTCTGAAAACATTTTTTTATAGAGATGGGGTCTCACTATGTTGCCTGGCTGGTCTCAATGGTCTCGAACTCCTGGACTCAAGTGATCCTTCTGCCTTGGCTTTGTTCTTTGTTAACGAAGAAAAAAAGGAGGCAGGGCAGAGGGGTAAGGAGTTGGTAAGCCAGGTAGATAAACATGTAAGTAGGTACAACACTTCTTAACTTGTAGTATGGTCTGATCTACAGGGGCTCTTCCCAGAGCACTTCCGTCTTTCACTGGAAGAGCCTCCTTTCCAGCAATAGCACCTAAAACCAATTTCTTTTGGCTTTCTCACTTAAATTATTTTTTATTCTATTGCAATTATTTTTATTCTACTTCCTGATTTGCAAAAGTCTTTCCATAGAGTACTTTCTTCAAAATTTTCCCCAATCCTGTACTTGGTATATATTGTGTATATATTTATTTATATCACCCCCATTTGCCTGAAGTGCTCTGCTGCCCCGCGATCACCACTTCTCCCAGAAAAGCAGCTCTGAGGGCAGACCGCTTTCAGAAGCACATTTATCTGCACTCTGGCAGGGAACCTCCCAACCATCCCACGGTTCCAACTCAATTCAATGGTTACCAGCTACATACAATGCCTGACACAAGGAAGATGCCAGGAATAGAAAAATGAACCAAGTATAGTGCCTGTCCTCCAGGAGACAGCAGATGCCAACACAGCTACCTGCAATACAAACTCTCATATACCCTTGAGGGAGTCCTAGCCAGATCACACAACTGTCTGTTCAGAGGCCAAAAGCAGCATTGAATTCCACCCCCAACCCTTTCTGACAAGACTCCTCCAGTCCCACCAACCTGAGAATAACAAAAACCTGCTCCTCAATTTTAGCAAAATATTGAGCACTATTCCTTATAAAACACTGTGCAAAGTACGAGCATATTCATTTTACTTTTTAAATTAAATTTTTTAAAAGGCACGGTCTTGCTCTGTTGCCCAGGCTGGAGTGCACGATCCTACCTCAATGCAGCCTGGAACTCCTGGGCTCAAGAGATCCTCCCAACCTCAGCTTCCCTAGTAGCAGGGACTACAGGTGCGCACCACCATGCCCAGCTTTTACAAGCACATTAGTTTTCACCTCACAATAACCCAGTGCAACAGATACTCTAACTACATCCTCTTTTTCAGAGGAGGAACTGAGATTCAAAGATAAAAATAACATCACCAAGTTAGGAATGGAACAGAGAGACTGACTCCCGGGTTGACATCCTTAACCACTATGCTAACCGGCCTCTCCAAACCCTCCAGGACACGATGCGACAGGTTGGGGAAGTCACTCCTTTCTTTTAGGCATGGATCGGAGGAGAACGACATTAGAGAAGTTTCCATTTCCACACGAAGAATTTCAGGGTCAACTGCATCTAAATTGCTCGCAAGACAGACCCTCCCCCGCCCAGCACCAGACGACCTGCACAGGCCACCAGAACCAGCTACAGGGCATGGCCCCCGAGGATGGGGCCCCGAGGCCTAGCCCCTCCCGTGGCCTCCCGCGGACAAAGTGGCCATCGCTGCGGCTGGCACTTCCCCAGTGTGGCTGAGCCCCCACGCCTGGGTACCATTCACCGTGGAAGAAGTCGGCGCTGCGACCCCCGGCAGGACGACGCGGAGAGCACCCAATGACAGGGAAGCTGGGAGCCCACGGCCGTGCCTGCCCCTCCCCACGCTGGAAGGGCTCGCGGGGCGGAGGTCCCAGGAGTTGCCAGGGCCAAGCGGTCCTAAGGAGGATGACTGAGTGGCGGCAATCCTGCTCCCTAACCCCAATCTCGGGCCAGCCTCCCGGGTGCTCGGAATCCTCCCCACACCAACGAAAGCGGCAGCGCCAACCCGCTTCTTGGCGCTCACCTTCCAGCGGGTTCCAGCAGCGCAGCCACGGAGCTCCGCGCACCGACACGCCCCCCTTTCATTCACCTGGCGCCCTCCGATGAGAGGCGGGGCGGCTGGCCAATCGCGGGAGCGCCTGGCCTCGGGAAGGCGGGCCCTTCGGCCAGCAGGGTGGTCAATGGCGCTGGTGCCCCTCGGAGGATGCGCTCTGAAGGCGCCGGGGCTAGCAGGGTGATGGGAGTTGTGGTCTCAGCGCTGGCTTTTCTGGTAAAGATAGAGTGGACAAAACTACAAGTACCAAGATGCCAAAAGGGGCGAGGACCAGTGCTAGCGAAAGGCTGCAGCTCGGTTCGGTCTTTTGAGTCCCACTTGAGGGACCTGCCAAGTACCGGTCTCTTTGTCTGGAGAGCGAAAAGCACGTCGTGGGTATTAATGCAGCCCAGGGAATAAGAGCTGTGACTCATCAGTCAGCACATATTTCACCTACTGGCGCTCTCCGCAAAGATCTGGAAATAAGTGAAATGATTTAATCGATTCAACAGGTTTTTATTGCATACCCGCGGTTTCCTTTACTGGGTAGTCGTTACAGAAGATAAAAGATTCAGCTCTTCCCTTGACAGGCTCTCCGGTTCGTACATACTAGTGAAACGGTTAAATGGCAGTACTAGGTGCTAAGTGACCGTACAGGCGTATTCTGGGACAGCTGTGAGCAAGACAAGGCAGCTTACCGCTCTCAGGGAGCTTAGTTCTAATGGGGGTGTATTCGTTTGCTAGGGCTCCTGTACCTAAATGTCACCAACCGGTGGCGTCAATAACAGATCTTATTGTGTCACAATCCTGGGGGCATCTGAAAGCAAGATGTTGGCAGGGTTCGTTCCTTCTGTGAGGAAACGGTCTGTTCCAGACTTCTCTCCTGGGCTTACATATGGCCATCTTCATGTTCACAGGGCATATTCCCTGTATATGTCTCCATGTCAAAATGTCTCCTTTTGGTTGCGGTGAGTCGAGATCGCGCCACTGCACTCCAGCCTGGGGCCACAGAGAGAGACTCCGTCTAAAAAAAAAATACAATACAATAAAAATTAAGTATTTTTATAAGGATACCAGTCATATTGGACTAGGGATTCACTCTACGCCAGTATGACTTTTTTTTTTTTTTTTAAATGTATGGAGTCTCGCTCTGTCGCCCAGGCTGGAGTGGTGGCGGGTGGATCACTTGAGGTCAGGAGTTTGAGACCAGTCTGGCCAACATGGTGAAACCCCATTTCTACGAAAAATACAAAAATAAGCCGGACGTGGGTGGTGTGTGCTAGTAATCCCAGCAACTCAGGAGGCTGAAGCAGGGGAATGGCTTGAACCCGGGAGGTGGAGATTGCAGTAAGTGGAGATCTGGCCACTGCACTCCAGCCTGGGCAGCAGAGCAAGACTGTCTCCAAAAAAAAAAACCACACAAAAAAAAGACTACCCTCTCCACTGAGAGACCCTAATGAGAAGTAGTGAGCCATGCTAAGATGAAACAGAAAACCGGTTGGTACATGTCTAAAAAACAGGAGGATGCCATTGGGTTGAGGAAGTGGATGGCAGGTAGACCAGCTTCATGGGCATGCAACCCATGTGGTGGCACAGGGCCGCATACTCAGAAAGGGCTGGTGCTTCCAGGTGAAGTTTTTTACTTAACAAAACAAAACAAAACAAAAAAAGAGCCAGGTGCGGTGGCTCACACCTGTAATCCCAGCACTTTGGAAGGCTGAGGCAGGCGGATCACTTGAGACCAGCCTGCCCAACATGGCAAAACCCAGTCTCTACTAAAAATACAAAAATTAGCTGGGCATGGTGACACATACCTGTAATTCCAGCTACTTGGGAGGCTGAGGCATGAGAATCTCTTGAACTTGAAAGGTGGAGGTTGCAGTGAGCCAAAATCGTGCCACTGCACTGTTTCAAAAAAAGAAGAAGAGGAGGAGGAGCAGGAAGAAGAAAAATTAAATTACTAACAAATAAAAACAATAAAGTCTAAATAAATATTTTAAGAATTCAAAAAAAGGAAAGAAAGGGCTGATGCCTGGTTTAATGCTCTGCCATTGCCCTCTTAATATTCTTAATAGTTTTTGAACAAGGAGCTCTGCATTTTCATTTTGCACTGGGCCCCACAAATTATATAGCCAGTCCAGGTGACAGGAAATATGAATGGATAGAGAAGCAAAGGCCAGGATTACATAGGAATTTGTAGGCCACCTTAAGGAGTTTGGATTTTTTCTTATAAATGTGAAGGGACACCTTTGAAGGATCTTAAGCAGGGAAGAGATAAGATATGATCTCTCCCCTGCTGATAGATGCTGATAACTGGGGATAGGGTAGAGGTGGTAGACATGGAGGGATTTGTTTAGGATATATTTTATTTTTTTTTATTTTTTTTTGAGACGGAGTCTTGCTCTGTCGCCCAGGCTGGAGTGCAGTGGCCGGATCTCAGCTCACTGCAAGCTCCGCCTCCCGGGTTCACGCCATTCTCCTGCCTCAGCCTCCCGAGTAGCTGGGACTACAGGCGTCCGCCACATCGCCCGGCTAGTTTTTTGTTATTTTTTAGTAGAGACGGGGTTTCACCATGTTAGCCAGGATGGTCTCGATCTCCTGACCTCGTGATCCACCCGTCTCGGCCTCCCAAAGTGCTGGGATTACAGGCTTGAGCCACCGCGCCCGGCCAGGATATATTTTAGAACTTGCCAAAAATGTAATTGCAGTTCACTCTAAAGGTAACTTAATAATTTTAGGTGGTGAAATGTCAGCCAAACACCACTGTACTATCTATCAAAGAAAAGCAGTTTACCTATTTCTTGTAAAGCTGGATACCCACAGAGGGACAGCAGCAGTTACATCTTTCCTCTTAGTGTGGCTGTCCTTGCCACTCAGTCCCCAAAGGCCATCTTGGGTGCTGAGGACTTTTGATCATCAAGGCAGCAGAGAAAGCATCAGAAGTGAGGAGCACCAAGCTTCTCTGGGCTCAGCCTTTTGTATCTTCTCACCTGCGAAGTCATGTCATTGATGCCTTCACCTTAATTGTGACTCTACCTGGAACTCAGCCTAGTATTCATTCTACGTTTCCTGCACCCAGGCTCCCAGTTTCAGGTCCCAAATTTTATGACTATGGCACATGCAACCTGTGCTGGATGACCTAGTAACATTCCAGGCTGCTAACGTAAAAGGGCTTTTTAGGGTGGACTGCACAGGACATGATCCTGACAACTAGGCATAGGAAATGTCTAGAGGCCTTATGATCTCTAGATATGATGTAGTCTGCTGTGGGATTTACTCTATCCACCTAGACCAGCACAACCTTTAGTATTCGGTGTATCTTTCAAAGTTCAGTTGAAACCAACCTGGCTAGTTTAAGCAGAAAGCAACCTGGCTAGTTTAAACAGAAAAGAATTCATATAAGGAATTAGGTAATACAAATTGTCAGGAAGGCTAGAGAATGACTCTGCAAGGATGACTCCAAACTATCCCACCAGGGTAGCTACCCATTTTTGCTGCTAACAGGAAAGTAAGAAATGAGGACGTCATCACTGTACCTGTTAAGCTCAACAACACACTGCCGTGGCTGTGATTCAGGGACTGGAAGTCAACATCACCCTTGCTGCCCCTGAAACAGCCTCTCAACCCCTACATGGCTAGTGACTGGACCCTACAACCCTGCTGCAGACACGCCTCATACCTCTGCTGCCATACATCAGCAGCAAGCAGCAGGCGGGTGGCCTCCACCTCATTTCCAAATCCTGGCCATGACGTTTTAACTCTCCAGATTCTGCAGCACAGGAAGGGACAGTAGAAGGAGATGAGAATGGATGCTGAGTGCCAATCGACAATACCCAGCAGCATGAATGGCACAGCAACGTGTCACTGAATCTAAAACTTAGGACCTCCAGAGCAAAAAATAGAGAATTTAAAATTGCTGGCTGGGAGCAGTGGCTTATGCCTGTAATCCCAGCACTGGGAGGATAAAAAAGGTGGATCAGCTGAGGTCTGTAGTTTGAGACTAACTAGTCTGGCCAACACCGCGAACCGCCCCCCCACCCACTAAAAATACAAAAATTAGGCTGGGTGCGGTGGCTCATGCTTGCAATCCTAGCACTTTGGGAGACCAAGGAAGGCAGATCACCTGAGGTCAGAGTTTGAGACCAGCCTGGCCAACACGAAACGCCTCTTTACTAAAAATACAAAAAAAGTAGCCAGGTGTGGTACCACGCACATGTAGTCCCAGCTACTCGGGAGGCTGAGGCATGAGAATCGCTTGAACCCAGGAAGCAGAAGTTGTAGTGAGCAGAGATGGTGCCACTGCACTCCACCGTGGGCAACAGAGTAAAACTCTATCTAAAAAAAATACGTAAATAAAAATAAAAATACAAAAATTAGCTGGGTGTGGTAGCACAGAACTGTAATCCCAGCTACTTGGTAGGCTGAGGCATGAGAATCACTTGAGCCTGGGAGGTGGAGGTTGCAGTGAGCTAAGATGGCACCACTACACTCCAGCCTGGGTGACAGAGCAAGACTCTGTCAAAAAAAAAGAAAAAAAAAAAAAAAATTTCTAAGGGATGACTTCCTGCAAAACAAGGAACCCTATCTTCCCAAAGGGAAATGAGAAAGCATTGCAGCAGGCACTATTTGTTTCCCTTGTCTCTTCCTTAATTGTTTTGATTTAAGATATCATAGAATATTCGGAGCTGTTTATTAGTTTCTACAATGCCAGAGTAATTGACTGAAGTATCAGGGTATAACCCCTTCTCTGGTAACTGACACGTATTTGAGTACTGATTGATGTTGGGAGACAGCTTCTGTCAAGAAGTTGACCTTCTGGAGTGCTACAAAGGATACATTCATGAAAACCTCTAGTGGTTAGGGACAAATTGTGAATACCCACGGGGTGACTTTTGCACATAAGAAAGCAAAAAACAGGCTGGGTGTGGTGGCTCACACCTGTAATCCTAGTACTTTGAGAGGCTGAGGTGGGCAGTTCACTTGAGGTCAGGAGTTCGAGACCAGGCTGGCCAACAGGGCAAAATCCCATCTCTA